TAATAAACTAGCTTCCAGGCAGCGCTGTTGTTGTGGCCAATTTTTACGTTAGAGATTCTTATCTATTTCCGTATATACACTCTTATCTATGGAGCTATGACACGTACGTATCAAGGGATAAATTGAAGGATGTAATCTCACAAGTCAAGCCGACGGCACAGACCATGAAATGTACAAATTTTCATTTCATTTTTAATGAGAAAATTTTCATGCTCCGTAATTTTGTAATTTTTGACAAAAAGAAACATTAAAAATGGAGAAATATTTTATTGTGTTAGCATCTGATCGAAAAATAGACTGAAAATGACTTTTAATGACCGAACTTAGTGATCGCAGCGCCTCACTTATGGTGTCCATATTTCTGGGACACTATTTTCTACGGCGATCGTTCTCCTGTTCTCTAACCTTCATGGTAAGCATGTGCGTTTTCAAATTTTAGCTGCAACGGTTACATAATCGATATTTGGTTTTCATATCGTTATTGAAAACTGTTTTCAGACATCGATATCAGTAGTAAGGGTTTGCTACTGAATGCGCAAACGACAACCGAAATATACCCGAAAACTCTAGAACAAGTGCAATATTTATTTATTTATTTATACGGTCGAAAATTTTTACGGGAGGGCATTGAAATTCTGATTTCTGACCCGTAACCTTTTTGTCTGACGAAAAGTGGTGGAGGTAAACACTACGTAAGTACCGGGTTATTCAGTCAATCTTTCCATAGATAATGATCATTCAAATAGTGAACGCAGGCCATTACATTCCATAAAGTATGTAGTAATATAATTAAAATTACAAGATTACAACGGTCTTTCGTTCAAATACTAATGTAACATATTAATTTTATTTGAGTCAGTTACCAAGGTAGGCACGTATTTCTTTTAGAAAGAGTGTGCGTACAATCTATAGGTAAAGTCATTTTATCGAACAAACATTGATTGACTCTCAAGGTGGTACGTAGAGTAGATGCTAGATGGCAAAAACCCAAAAAAATAATTTCCTCTTATTATCTTTTAAAAATGTAACCTCCACACTAGGATTTCCTCCTATACCGTGGGGCGGTTTAAAAACATAAATCGTACAAGGACAAACATCCTGACCCGGAACAATTATTTGTAGGCCATACAAATATTTGTACTGTGCGGGATCCGAACTCACGGTTTAGCGTTGTAATTCAATTGCTAAGTCGCTGCATCACGGAGCCGTCAAATTTTATAATTTAGTTTATGTAAAATAACATTTTATAAATTGTCTTTTGAATAAATTTTTGTCGACATAATATAAAACCAGGGTTTAATTAAAATAAAATTACATAATTAAAATAAAATTACAAATAAATAATCAACAAACTAAACCGATAATATCTCTTCTTAAGATCGAAGAAGATTATGCACTGTAACACATACATAGGCTGCACTAAAATTATCGGGAATGGAATATTTCCACTGTTCCTGTCATATTAAAATCTTTTTAATTGAAAACTCCTTGGTTTTTAAAATCGAATACCATTTATTTATTTCAAAAAAAGATTCTCGGTCTTGTCACAAGGTTTTTTCAAACTTGTTTAGTCGAGAAAATGGAATTGACTCGAGAAAATTCAAGAGATGATTTATTATAACTTTCGAAGTGGTTTAATACAAAAACAATGTGTTGGCCGGAAGATTTCTGCATTTGGAGATGAAGCCCCATCCAAAACCAAGATTTATCGCTGGTTTGCTGAATTTTAACGTGGACGCGTCAAGCACAGTGATGATCCCCGTCAATGTCGTCCAAAAACTGCAGTCACCCAAGAAAACGTTGATGCTGTGCGTAAGCTGATTGAGGAAGATCGACATGTGACATACCGCGAAATTCAGGCAACTTTAGACATTGGCATGAGTCAAATACAAATAATCTTGCATAAACAATTAGGTGTTAAAAAGTTGTTTTGTCGATGGATACCGCATTCGCTCTGCGAAGAGCAAAAAGCGGCTCGCGTTACATGGTGCGTCAGAACTCTCGAAAGATTCCACGCAGGACCCTCAAATGCTGTATACAACATTGTATCAGGTGACGAATCCTGGATATGCGCGTACGAATGCGAAACAAAAAACCAGTCAGTTTGGGTGTTTGAAAATGAGTTAAAGCCAACAAAAATTGTTCGTTCACGGAGTGTTGCAAAAACAAATGGTGGCCACGTTTGTCTCCAAAACCGGCCATGTTACGACTATTCATCTTGAGGGACAAAGAACAGAACAGAAAGAAAAGAGTAGAATGGTATGCTAGCATTTGTTTGCCACAGGTCGTTTCTGAACTCCGTAAAGAGAACTGCAACCGCCGCATCATCCTCCATCACGACAATGCGAGTTCTCACACCGCACACAGAACAAAAGAGTTTTTAGAGCAAGAAAACATAGAATTATTAGACCATCCGCCGTACAGCCCCGACCTAAGCCCTAATGATTTCTATACTTTCCCTAAAATACAGAATAAATTGCGTGGACAGAGATTTTCATCACCTGAAGAACTGTGGACGCCTACAAAACGGCCATTTTGGAGACCCCAACTTCCGAATGGAATGGTTGCGTCAATGATTGGTTCCATCGTATGGAAAAATGTGTCAAATTTCGCGGAGAATACTTCGAAAAGCAATAAATACATTTTAAATAGTAATGTTGTGTCACTTCCTTGATTCCCGAAATTTTCAGTGCCGCCCTCGTATGTATATAATATTATGTTAATAAATGAAAAAAAATATACACAATCTATGCTATTTAAAAGTCATTAATGAATAATTGAAATGTTTACCTGTAATACAAAAGTTTCATTTCTGTCGTGTGTCTTCTCGAAATACACTGTTTTTCATTATTAGGAAGACGTTCCTGCCTATTTCCCTATATCCAGACTTGTTTCCCTCTGTCACCTCTTACAACACCTACGGGATCTTATGGGGTAGTGGATATTCTTACACCATCACTACACGGTACTATAAAATCTAAAGTAACTTAAACAATATTATATAATATATTTTCACTTTACACATAATTGTCTGAATTAAAACTAATGTACAAAATACACACAAATATTGCAAATAAATGCACAAACGCAACGTCAAAAATTAATAATATTGTAGATATTATTATCATATCTTAGCGAACGATATTCATGCATCACCAAGGCCAAGTGCGTAATTGCTGCGTTTTGAAAAAAAAAACAAATTCTAAACTTTCAGTCCAAAACATAAGAAACATAAACATAAAGTTGCCTAAACCAAATATAATATGGTCATACAAAACCAACTATTATGCCTATTGACTTAAAAGTCATTTAAATTTGACAACTCTCACAACTGCACAAACTTAAAAATTAGATAAATTTACCATTTAAAATTCGACCTTATTGCTTTAGGTAATTATATTCACTATGTCCATTTTGCAGCGTGTGTGAAAACTACCAAAATATCGCAAAGAAATCCATATTCGCTTCATCTCTTTCTATACGTATTTATGACACCGTCGCAAAAACGTGAAACAACGAATATCAACGAAGGTCATCAGTTAGTTTGATGAGCCGTGTTGGCATATCGTTATCGTTCCGGTTTTCGTTTTACGTTTCGTAACTTTCGTACGTTTTCGTTGGATATGCGATAACGGTTATATACTAAGGTATCGATATGATACGATATTTTGATAACATAACGTTATTAGTTACGTTTTAATATATCGGTCTCATGCCTACTTCATGGCAGCGTTGCCATTTACTCGGCAATTGCCGTGTTTCACGGCAATTTGTGTCTATTCAACGATAAAACACGGCAATTAATATGCTGCCGTGTTCTAATACACGGCAATCCAATGGTAACTATATTTTTCCGAAAATTTTATCGGTAGTCGATAAGTCATTATAACGCACATCACTAAACTACACTAGACGCTATGAAAGAAGAAATCCCGATGCGAATTCAACATAATATGTACACTCGCGCACACTTCATGCTTTATGGTATTTATTTCATTCTTTTTTATTGAAAAGATACATTAAAAAGATATACTGCTGTTTATTTACTTTATTTAACTTTACTAGCTAATCACTTTATCCGATCTGAAGGAAATTGTGTAAATTTCAAACCGTCAAAACAAATGATAGACAATATGAAGAGAAATAATAAATATAAATTGAATAAAGACGAAGAGGAGGTTTTGGATACGATAAGAAATTTGTATGATGGCTATGAAGAGTGATGTTTTTATGTCATGTTTAATCTTATGTGTTAATTTAAAATAAACAAAAATGTACACGGCAATTTGCTAGTTTTTATTCTAAGACACGGCAATCCAGATCCCAAAACACGGCAACTTTAAATTTCGAAATGGCAACCCTGCTTCATGGTGACTACCAAATGGCGGATCGCTTGCGGTTGCTAAATTGCTAAATAGCCCTACTAGTCATGCGCAAAACAGTGCGTTTTAAAATGATGTAACTCCAAACATGACGTGAAATGACGTGCTAGTGCCACACGCGATGGCCATTGTTATGAAATGCTCGCGTGGTAGTAGAAGATATACATCATTTCAATGAGATACCGCGTTATATTATCATGGTCAGTGAGCAGTGAGCGCACGACACAGGCGCACGCGTATAGCTAAACGTTTGCACTCTTGTTTACGTATCTACTATCTACGTCATACGACATACAACATATATCACCAACCTTTTTTCTTCGTAACTGTAGTCATTGATACTGTTACTTCAAGATGAATATCTGTGAATCATGTTCAAATGAGTTCATCGATGGAGTGCAATGTTATGTTTTTAAAAAACACTACGACTTTGGTTGTGCTGGTATAACGGAGCGAGGTTTTCGTAACTTAGAAACAGATCGAAGAGCTCAATGGAAATGACTTCAGTGCAAAAAGGTTTCCTTCAGCCCCTCCCGTCCAAGTTCTGAATTCAGTCCTGGTGGTAATTCTGGTGGGGAGTCGGCGACCTTGGATGTTATTCTTAAGGAGATTCGTGAGATGAAGAAGCTGGTCACGACAGTTCCAAGTCTTATCGAAGGCATCAAATCTATTAAAGTTGAATTAATCTATATAAAGGAGTCTTGTGAGTACAACACTAGTTCACTTAAATCTTTTCAAGATCAAGTCTCCAGTTTGGAACGTGGTGTATCTCAGATAGAAAAGATTCAAAATTCTCTCGCTGTGGCCAACAAGGAAATAGCTAATCTTAAAAGTGTTATTGAGACCATTGAACAATGGTCACGGCTATTAATGTTGAGGAAAAGGGCATCCCCCTAAAGCCCAATGAAAACCTATTTTATAATTGCGGAGTCTATGGGTAAAGCAGTTGGGTACGAATTCCAAAAATCTCAAATCAATTACATATCCCGAGTACCAATGTTTAATACCAAGGAGAAGGCCATCATTATCAATTTCATAAATCCTCATGTCAAAGAAGAATTTGTAGCAGCTGCACGCACCTGTAAAACTCTAGAGGCGAAGGATTTTGGATTTGAAGGCAATCGTCAACGCGTTTTCGTAAATGATCATTTGACTCCAGAGCACAAAAAACTTCTTACCAAAACAAGGACCTTAGCAAAAGACCGAGGTTATTCTTATATCTGGGTCAAATACGGAAAAATTCATATTCGTAAAAATTATACTTCGCCGGTTTTAATTATAACTAAAGAGCTGATTTAAACAAAATAGCTTAATCTATTGTTTATTAATGTCTCTTTACATTTTACTTCTTTTAATTTTAGTAAGTATTCTTATATCTGTATAATTAACTTTTACTTTTATGGAATTACGAAACTGTTTTTAAAAAGTTACAAAATGCTTGTTACCCCTTTTTTTTTTTGCGGTTGGTAAATCATCTAATGACGCCTTTCGCTCTGGGTGGAGCGTAAGGGAGTGTCAGACTTTTACCGACTAAAAACCATCCGTGTTCCTTCAGTGCCCTTACGTTCCGGAGCCGCGGTATCTCTTTCGAACAGCCCGCAGCCCCGGCAGGCGTCGGCCCTTGCGGGCTCCTTCACGCTGCTGACAGCTCTTTGAGGCGCGCGTGGAACAAAACGCGCCGTCGACACGGCCTGTCGTCGTTAGACGGACGGACGGCGAGCTACCCATTGCTCGCCGTCCACAGGCCCGCGCCTACGGTGGCCGGGGGCCACGACGTAGCCCCCGACGCCCGGGGCGTCTCCCGCGGCGGCCGGGGAGGAAAGCTGCTGCTCTCTCCTTCTCCCGCTCCGCCACCTCCTTCGCTAGCATCACTGCTTCGCAGAAGGTGGTGACGGCATCCCATTCCGTCTCGCTCCGGACCATGGCTACGACCAGAGCCGGACACGAGAGGTCGCCGCCGCCTATCGCCGCTACGAGGACACGGCGGTGCTCCGCCCAAGCAGGGCACACCTCCACGGTGTGTTCCACCGTGTCGGGGTAGAGGCACTTTGAACAGTTACATTCAAATTATCATAGCTCCTAAACTATCTAACTCAGAGTTAAGATTTAAATGTGCATTTATAGCAAATATCCTTTTTTTTTCTTTGCGGATGGAAAATCATCTAATGACCCCTTTCGCTCTGGGTGGAGCGTAAGGGAGTGTGACTTTTACTGACTAAAAACCATCCGTGTTCCTTCAGTGCCCTTACGTTCCGGAGCCGCGGTATCTCTTTCGAACAGCTCGCAGCCCCGGCAGGCGTTGGCCCTTACGGGCCCCTTCACGCTGCTGACAGCTCGCCGCCGCCTATCGCCGCTACGAGGACACGGCGGTGCTCCGCCCAAGCAGGGCACACCTCCACGGTGTGTTCCACCGTGTCCTCCGGTCCATCCTCGCAGTGGGAGCACCCGGGCGTTTCCTCCCGCCCGATTCGGTGCAGGAACCTCCCGAACACACCGTGTCTGGTGAGGACCTGCGTCAGGTGGAAGGTGAGGATGCCGTGGCGTCTCTCAAGCCACTCCTCAAAGCTCCACTCCTCTTATCGCCGCTATAGTGGCGTGCCCAATGCTTGTTACCCCTGCCTTATCTGTTTCGTCGACGCATCGCTATTTGTTAAAATTGCCGGTCGCTTAAGTATGCATCATATTTTGCACTCATTAGATGGTACAGTTTTATTTTTTCTACCCGTTTGTAAATATTATATGCTAACTTATTATAGTCTTAGTGAATTTTTAAATATTGGTATATTATTTACTAGTTTTATTAACGGGTTTTTGAAATATGACGGGAGATATATATTCCTTTATTGTAGTAAAATTATTTTGGTTATTGATAGGCTTAAAAATGGCTATGCTACATAATAATAGTGTACGTGTAGGGTGTGGCAGTGACAACCTGAGAATATATTATTAGAACGCAAGAGGCTTGAGCACTAAAACTGACATATTTTATCGTAATATTCTTGTATGTGATTATGAAATAATATTAATTACGGAGACATGGCTCCTGGACAAAATTAGTGATACGGAATTATTTGATAATCGATCCATTGTATGGCGGCGTGATAGGAATTACACAGTTACTGGTCAGAAATACGGTGGTGGCGTTTTGATTGCGACACGTAAAGATCTAGAAGCTATCCCGCAGCCTTCCTTTCATTCAAGTGCTGAGGACCTATGGTTAACGTTATCTACGCACCATATTACCCGTAAAAACGCAAGAACTTGTATATTTGTATCTTATATTTGTGTAACGAAAATCGGGGTCTCAGTTTTACTGCTCAACTTCAAAATTATTTGCACTCGGTTAGTGAAGTTGTCATGAGTCACTCGGACGATAGCTTTTTATTAGTTGGCGACTTTAATATTAGTGATATTATATGGGTGCCTGACATCGACGCCGCCGACGGTTAATTTTTAGGTACAAATATTCGTTCGGGAAATGAAATTTTATTAATAGATGAATTAAGCTCACTAAATTTGAGACAATTTAATGGTATAAAAAAATGCCCATGGCAGGATCCTTGACCTTGTTTTTTCTAGCGACGCTGTAACCGTTCGTGATTTATGTGGGGATTCTCTTATTCCTGTTAATCCTTATCATGGCGCCTTTTTAATATCTTTTGATTACGTTGTTTGTAATTCATTAAATACAAATTCTCGCCCTAATTTCTTATATCATAAAGGTGACTATTATTCATTAAATGGTGAGATTGCCAATATCCAATGGGGTGAAGTTATGTCTCCGTTATCCTTAGATGAATCTGTTCAATATTTTTATAGCACACTCACGTCACTTAGAGATAAATATATCCCCTCAAAATTAATTGTTGCCGACACTTATCCTAAATGGTATACAGCACCACTTAAAAAGCTATTAAAGAAAAACATAAATTTTTACGTAAATTTAGGATCTATGGCTGTAGGCATGACAATGAAACTTTTAAGCTATTGCGGGAGCGTGTAAGGAAATTAGAAAAGTTAGCATACCAATCTTGCATAACCTCTGTGGAAAATTCGATTAGTGTAAATTCGAAACACTTCTGGTCGTATATTAAACAAAAATCAAAATCACATTCAATACCTTGTTGTCTCAAATTTGAAGGTTCTGTAATGAACTCTGGTGAACTTATCTGTAATGCTTTTTCAAACTATTTTCGTTCAAATTTTTTGGTTTCAGGTGATAATATACTCGGCTGTCTGAAAATAATTATAATGATTCTCTAGTGTTGCCTCAGTCGAGTGTTGATATACCTTCAATTGATATAAACGAAAATACGGTCAAAAACCTGCTTAAAACGTTGGATCCAACGAAATCTGCTGGTCCCGATAACATTCCAGCTCACTTTCTTATTAACTGTGCGTATACAATTTGTGTTCCTTTGACTATTTTGTTTAAAAAGTCTCATAGTACAGGTATTGTTCCTACTATCTGGAAGCGTGCATTTATCACGCCTGTCCATAAAAAGGGTTCCAAGACCGAAGTTACTAATTATCGACCGATTTCTAAGTTGTGTATTGTATTTAAAGTGTTTGAACGAATTATATATAATCAATTATACGCGGCCCTTAAACATTCATTCAATCCGACTCAACATGGTTTTTTAAGAGGACGCTCTGCTGTTTCAAATCTTGCGCTCTTTAATGCATTTTTGACTGAGGCAATGGACAATCGCCACCAGGTAGATATCGTTTATACAGATTATAGTAAAGCTTTTGACATAATACATCATAATTTGCTATTGCTGAAACTGTCCAAGATCGGTATAAACGGCGATCTGCTTAGGTGGCTTATGTCTTTTGAAAGGTGAAAATCTTAAAAGGGATTCCATTGTTAGAGATCTCGGTGTTCTTCATGATTCCAAATTGATATTTGACGTTCACTTAGGAAGCATTATAACCAAATCTACGAAAGCTCTTGGATTTTTGATGCGTAGCTGTAGGGACTTCACTAAAGCTAAAACTCTAAAGTTCCTATTGTTAGCAAATAATACAATTTATGTTACAGCATATCACTTTTATTTTATTTTATCCGTTTATAACTCACAATTTATTTATCGTACAAATAATCACTGTTACTTAGTACCTTCACTATATCTTTACACCAAAAACTGTCAAGTCTCTTAAGTCTCAATACCTTAGAACTGAATAGAACTGAATGCCCCGCTTGGGTCGTGACGGCCATATTTATCCTCTTTTGTTAGGAGTCAAATCCGAAGCTATTACAATAAATAGCTTACCGGAAATTCAAAGTCACAAAAGCGGAAATCCGATTTACATTTATTAAAGTAGATGGATATTTCAAGAGATAACTACATTAAAACTATGATCATTCAATATGTTACGCTTAATTGTTCTTTATACTTAATTGCTAACAATCGGCCTTTCCTGACATTTTCACGTCCCGTGAAAGGAAAGTTAAAAATGTATTATCATATTAAGTTAATATTATTTGTAATTTTACAGTTTATTTCAAATTAATGAAATTACAATGCAAAGAATATTGAAGCCCAATTCATGTCTTCAATAATTACCTGCATGAGACCCCTTCATGTTCTCAACAGGTAAGAAAGAAGTATAGAATACTGAAGCCCCATTCATGTCTTCAATATTCACCTGCATGAGACCCCTTCATGTTCTCAACAGGCAAGAAATAAGTAAAGAATACTGAAGCCCCATTCATGTCTTCAATATTCACCTGCATGAGACCCCTTCATGTTCTCAACAGGCAAGAAGTAAGTAAAGAATACTGAAGCCCCATTCATGTCTTCAATATTCACCTGCATGAAACCCCTTCATGTTTTCAACAGGCAAGAAGTAAGTAAAGAATACTGAAGCCCCATTCATGTCTTCAATATTCA